ATAACCTTAAGAACATAGTTTGTAATAAAATAATTTAAAAGTAATGAGCTTTGAGCTAAATACCTCTGTTTCTAATTGATTTAATGCTAAACATAAATTATTTAAGTTTTAATAATGGCTATGTATGACTTATGTGATCATCTCTCAAGCCAATGAAAGCAGATCCAGCCCAGCAGCCTGCTGCTGCCAGATCAAAGAAGCAATGCAAAGCTAAGAGATCGGAGAAAGAGCACAGTCAGCCTTTCCCAGAATGCACCCCGCTGATATGGCAGGGCCTGGCTGCCATTTGGAAGGGCCAGTCTTCTGCATTCCCTACCTTGTGCCCTGTGCACTCATGCACTTATGCCTGCAACTTCCAGGGATTCTCCTTGTACTCCTGAGTGCCTAAAGTCTTCCAACTTTGAGATTCTGCCCAGGGCTCCTCTTTGAAGCCTTTGATTTACAGTTCTGACGGTATTGGGTTCTTGCCAGCAGTTTCTATGAAAAACTAAGGAGTAATGTGAGTGAGACCACTTAGCCAGGGTCTGAATCCCCATGTCCCTTGTGAATACTGGAGTTGTCTCAGAGAAAATCATTGCTCCTAGCCAAATCCCCTGCAGACACTTCCAGACCAGAGGCACAGACATGGCTTCCTAAGCCTGAACTACCATTGGCCATAGGAATACAGGGGACAATTACAGCTTGTTGGTGGAAAGGCTGGGGCTGTGGGCCTCTGAGTCTGCATGCGGCTGTTTAGGGGCTGGAAGGTACCTTTGCCTGGTCGCTGCTCAGAACCATGTTAACTGAGTCAAGCCCTTGGCTGAAATCACAGCTTTGCCTTCCCTGCAAATTCAAGTTCCTGCGAGATCTGTCTACCTTTGGGCCAACAGGCATATTGATGGAGCATAGCTTTAAAATTTTATAGAGTTTAATATTAAAGTCTCAATAAATAAACTCAGGAGGTGGAGGCAGCAGGATGGCAAGTTTGTGGCCAGCTTGAGAAACAGCTGACAATGGTCAATAAAGACAGCAGAAAAGAAAGTGGGGCAGACTACAGGGGAGACAAGAGCTCACTTTGACCCCAGCATCCACTCGTGTGTGTGTGTGTGTGTGTGTGTGTGTGTGTGTGTGTGTGTGTGTGTGTGTGTGTGTGTGTGTGTGTAAGAGAGATCTAAGATATGGGGTTTTTATGGTTTAGAACCTAACTTCATCATCACTAAGAGAGGAAGCAAGAGGGGTGAAAGATGGAGGGGTTGATAGCAGTGCTTTAAGAATTGTTTTATGTTTGACACTAACATGGTGCTGTCCTCTCACTTCTAGAAAGCTCTTAGATGTAAACCAACCAGAGACTGCCATCTGTAGCCAAGCCAATCCATTTGCAGGTGAAAAGGGCAAGAATGTTCTGCAGTTGTTTACAGTTGCTTTGTATCTGATCTGTAGGAGGGTAGTTATTTTAAAATGAGCCCCATGAGTTATCAATACTTTTTAACTCAAGATGTGGAGAAGCCTGTTTTTCAAGTTTCTGACACTAGGCTCACAGCTATAATACCAACTACTCCAGAGGAGGACATTGTGAGGGTTGAAACCACCTTGGAAAAAGTTAATGAGATCGGGTCTCAGTCTAAAGATTGGCGTGATAGGAGCACAAACCTGCCACTCCCCCAGCCACATGGGAGACATAAGTAGGAGGATTACTGTCTGGGGTAACTCCTGACAAACACTTGAAATCCTATTGGAAACATAGTTAAAAATGGGCAAATGCCTTGGCTCAAAGGGTAGAGCACCCACATAGCAAGTGCAAGGCCATGAATTCAAACTGCAGTAACACACACACTCACACATACACACACACACAGCACTGTCATACTTCATCAATGAGCAATCGTCATCTTGGGCCATGAACATTCAGATTCAAGAGATGGCCAATGGCTCCTTAAGGCCCTGGGTCCATTGGAAGGTCAGAGGAAAGAGACATTGCTTGCCCTTGCCAGGAGGGCAGCCTTAGCTGCTCCAGTGTGGAGAGTTGGAAGGAATCCTGGCATAAGGCCCTGCCTGAGAGGAGTCAAAGCTCTTGTAACACTCCAAGGGGACAAGAGGCATGCCAAGCTACAAGGCCCAAACCAGATACATACAGACAGTATGCAGTTCCTCCAAACCCGGGCTGGAGTTAGTGTTATGCCAAAATTAACCGAAGATCAAATTCTCATGCAGGAAAAAAAGATGTTTGTTCATTCGTTCATTCCCTTACCTAGGCTTATACACCCCAAATCCAAATGCTAATCCAAGGTTACAATTTAAACTTTAGATTTTTCAGGGACAGCAAAGGTTAAAACCAATGCAAATATTCCAAAAGCTGGCAAACTCTGAAATCTGAAACACTTCTTATCCCAAGCACTTTGCTTAAGTGATGCTCAATGTATAAATAAAACAGGCTTAGAAAGGTTTGTCAACTTGTCTCAAATCACATAGAAAGTACCTCAGTCAGGGTTTAAACCCCAACCGATCTGATGCCAAATACCAGGCTCCTAACTGAAATGCAAGATGGAAATTTTTTCTATTCTATAGCCTATCTGTGATTCTTTTACTATCTGAATTATATGCCATCAAGAACCATTGGTTTTCCTGGCAGAAGCTGCGGGTTTGTTTGTAGTTTTGCCCATTTCTTGGCACATACCCCAAGTTGAGCAGTTCGACACTATGCTAGTTAGTAGTACACTTGGAGTAATAAAAGAAAGCACAAGTTACTTGCTTTTTTTCCTAAGTATATTTTCAGTAGGGGTTTATGAGAAGGGGAAGAAATTTAAGAGCAGCAGAACCAATTTTGCGTCAGAATAAAAGAGTACCTGGATCCCAGGTGCAAACAATCCTTATTTGTATCAACTGTTCCTTTCTTCTTTCACCATCTTGTAGCACAAAAGCTCAGAGCTCAAGGCAAAGCATGTAGCTTTATTGCAGTTCAGTTCACATATAAAACTCAGTTTATGTATCTGGTTTGTGTTGCAAGAAGGGTGCCATCCAAGTCCCAAGTATAAAAGTAGGAATTTAAAGACACTGTAATAATATTGCTGTTGTTTCATTAGGTGTTTAATCAGCTCTAAGCTTTCACCAGACATAAGAGCTATCTACTGACTTCCAAAACGTCAGAGTGTAGTGAAGAAATATGTTAAGGAATTTTGTAGGCAGAACGTAAATTCAGCCGGGTAAAATACTATGATTGGTACTAGTTAACGATGAATTTTATTGAAGTAATCAGAATTCAAATGGATAGGCGAGAGGCACAGACAACACCTAAGGTATGGTAATGTTTTGCCTCTCAGCTGAGGTAGACACATGTAGTATTTCTTTTTCTTTTCTTTCTTTCTTTTTTTTTTTTTTTTTTTTTGCCAGTCCTGGGGCTTGAACTCAGGGCCTAGGCACTATCCCTGAGTCTCATTGTCCTCAAGGCTAGCTCTCTACCACTTGAGCCACAATGCCACTTCTGGCTTTTTCTGAGTAGTTTATTGGAGATAAGAGTCTCATGGGCTTTCCTGCCCAGGCTGGCTTTGAGCCACAATCCTCAGATCTCAGCTCAAGTAGCTAGAATTACAGGCATGAACCACCAACACCCAGCCAAGAGAGGCTGTTTTTTTGTTATTTTTTTTTATTGGCTGAATACTTTCATATATACTGTTCATGGTGTTCTCCGTCCAGTGTTCAAAAATGAAGATGGCAAAATCATCAAGGATTTATGCTTCTTAAGAAAGAGGTAGCATTTCACAGATTCTTTTTCATCTCATATTACATGAATTTATGAACTGTTTGATTATACAGGAAGCAAAGGACAAACTGTGACTATTACTAGCACAAGAGAAGTATTAGAAGGATAACCTTGGGTTAATGGGTGTGTGTCTGTATATGTGTATGAATGTGTGTGTATAATATATATATATATTTTTGAGACAGTCTCTCTGTACAACCCAGGCTGACTTCCCTAGTGCTGGGACGACAGGCATGAGCCACCACATCCAGCCTGGAAGAATAACTCCAAGGTTTCCAAAGTGAAACTAGCAGGAAATGTAGCCTTTCCTCATCTAAAAAAAATTTTTTTAATCAGAAAGTAAACAGATCTTTGGTGATGACCTTCCTCTTTAACTTGTTTGATAATCTTCTCTGTCTCCTTGTATTGCTTTCATCCCAGCCTCTTGGCTCTGTGTGGGCAAATGTTCTGCATGTGTATTGCAAGGTGGGCTTGGCCACATGCAAGGCAATACCTTAAGTAGCCAAGAAAATACCTAAAATCCAAACCATAATATGAAATCTGGAGAAATTCAAGAATCACAGTGTTCTTGAGGTTGTATATGTTAAGTGTCAGTTAAGTGATTCAACCACTAAGGACTCTAAGCTGCGGAGAAAGGGACGCCCCTCAGGAGTGGCAAAGGCCTTGAGAATGGGTGAGCAAGAGGACTTTGCAAGGGTTCTTGGAAACAAAAGGCTTTGAAATGTGGAAAGACCTATTGTTATTCTGTGTGTAGAGGTTTTTCCAAGAGGAAGATTTATTTGTCTAAGGAAGAAATAGGCCCAACTTTGGGGAATCTTAAAAATAAACCAAGCTGGGCACTGCTAGCTCACACCTGTAATGCTAGCTACTCAGATGGCTAAGATCTGAGGATGGCAGTTTGATCCCATCCCAGGCAGGAAAATCTGTAAGACTTTTATCTCCAATTAACATCCAGAAAATCAAAAGGTCCACTGAGGCTAAAAGTGGTAGAACACTAGCCTTGAATGAAAGAACTCAGAAATAGTACTCAGGCCCGGAGTCCAAGCCCCACAACCACGAAAGAAAAAGAAAGAAAGAAAAGAAGAAAGGAAGGAAGGAAGGAAGGGAAGGAAGGAAAGGAAGGAAAGGAAATGGTCAGGAAAGAAAGCAAGCCAGCAGTTGCCTAGGGCAGCTGTCAGGAGATTTCAGATGTGTATCAGGTGTTCCCAGGGCACCACAGACTGTGGAAATGGTCCAGGCTGCTAACCTGCGATTGTCATTTCAGATTCATGACAGATGCTGCCCGCCGAGAGCAGGAGTCTCTGAAGAAGAAGATTCAGCCAAAGCTCTCACTGACCCTGTCCAGCTCCGTGTCTCGAGGGAATGTGTCCACTCCACCACGCCATAGCAGTGGAAGCCTTACGCCCCCTGTGACCCCACCCATCACCCCCTCCTCTTCATTCCGCAGCAGCACTCCAACAGGTGAGTGGGAGGTAGAGAGGTGCTGGGGACAGAGGACAACAGCCTGGACCCTCCGCTGATCTCTGAAAAGTGTGTTGATCAGTTCACATATTCATTATTGAGGAACTAGTTAAAGATGATCAGTGTGTTCGTGCTGATTGTATGGCTATCTGGAGGCCTTCCCATTATGCATGGATGAAGTGGCTGGTATGTTGGGCTTGCCCCATCAGACGAAGGAGCTTATAAAACAAGACTGCCATGTGATGGTTATTGTTGAAGCCGAGTGGTGCCACATGGAGTCTATTCTCCCTAATTCTCCTTAGTTTACATCGTGAAATGATTAAGAACAAAACCACATTTGGAACGTCTCCGGGGCGCCAGACAACAGAGCTGTGGGAGTGGACGGGGGCCTGGGCTCTCTCTGTCCTGTACTTGCTGGAAGCAATGGGAATCAGAACTGAAAAATCAAAATATCAACTCAGTTACTCTAGAAAGTGCACTGGGCTTGTTACTGGGGCTTCTCTGAATTCAAGCTACTCCCTATACTGATTCTCTAAGGTCACCCCAGTGTGGGAACAAACCAGAGTGAACAGAACACACTCTGTGCTTTACATCAAGCATGTAAAAATGTGAAGCATCTTCTTGGTCCTGTCTGAGAAGCAGAGAATGGATTTTCCTTCCCCTTAGTAAGAGTATAGGCATTTGTCCAATAAATACACAAATGAACTTAGCATTGCTGTCATGACTGTGTAGAGAGGAACTCAGTGACAGGAGCACTCCAGGGAGATACTGCCCTGGGTAGAAAAGCTTCCTTGGGGGGCTGGGAAGGTGGCTCAGTGGTAGAGCACTTGCCTTGCATGCCTAAGGCCCTGGGTTCGATTCCTCAGCACCACATAAACAAAAAAGAAAAAAGCCGGAAGTGGTGCTGTGGCTCAAGTGGCAGAGTGCTAGCCTTGAGCTGAAGAGCTGAGGGACAGTGCCCAGGCCCAGAATTCAGGCGCCACGACCGGACCCAAAAACAAAACAAAAAAAAAAAAAAAGAAAAGCTTCCTTGGGAAGATGGAGAAGAGTCAGTAAGTAAAGGGAGAAGGAGGAGCAGCAGTGCAGTTGGAAAGAGGAAAAGAGGCATGCTCCAGCCAAGAGCACATGGCAAGGGGGCCGGTGTAAAAACTGCAGGTCGTAGAGCAGAACAAATGGTCAGGATGCTAGAGGAGGCAGCAGAAGTACAGGGCCTAGGGAATCATGGCCTTCATTAGTGATTTAGGTCAATTCCAAGAGTGAAGAGAAGCCACTTACCATCACAGCAGCATCTTCTGAGTATCCATCACCTCACCAACTGGAAGTAAAGCTGTCTTTCTCTTACAGCCTATGAATGTCTTTTTTAACCATCTCCCATCAGAGATGACCACTGTAGCATTTCTCAAAAAAATATGTTTCAGGGGGTGGGAAGGTGGCTCAGTGGTAGAGTGCTTGCCTTGCATGCATGAGGCCCTGGGTTCGTCCTTAGCACCACATAAGCAAAAAGAAAAAATCCAGAAGTGGCACTGTGGCTCAAGTGGTAGAGCACTAGCCTTGAGCTGAAGGGCTGAGGGACAGCATCCAAGCCCAGAGGTCAGGCCCCATGACCGGACCCAAAAAAAACAAAACAAAAAACAATATGTTTCAGAATATTACTGTTAACAGTCAGGGTTATGGCACAAGTGGTAGAACACCTGCCTGGCTAGCAAGTGCAAGGCTCTTGTTCAACCTCAATATCATCCAAAACAAACAACAACAAGAAAAAGCAGAGCTTTAATTTCAAAGGTGTGTATTAGGGTAAACATCTTCCTAATGAGTCCAGAATAGCCAGAATTCCCACCCGAGCTACTTTCTTTATTGGTGATGTCACCTTGAGCAAATCACTAATGCTCAAGGCACATGTGTAAAACGCTATCTTAGCTCTGGGGAAGTGGTGGGAGAGAAGGGAGCTTTTAGGTTACAGCTTTTAGTTCCCCGATAGAGGATGGGACCAGTCTCTTGCTCTTTTCTCTTTGGTGTCCTGGTCATGAGGTGAGCAGTTTTGCTATGCCATGCTCTCCATGATGTACCATTCCACCACCAGAGGCGTAAAAGCAGTTGGTCCACCCATTCATGAAACCATGGACCAAAATAAACCTTTTATCTTTATAAAATAATTATCTCACATATTTGTTCCAATCACAGAAGGTTAACTTGTGCATCAATACTATCTCTGCAGACTTTTGTGTAAGCATTAAATATCATAGCATAGTATGGTTTTCAACTCATTCTTTAGCAACAGATCAAGATCATTCTTCTAGAATACAAACTTCTGTATTGGTCCCTTAGCCATCTTTATATTTTATTTCCTGAAGACTGGCTTTCTAACATCTTTATGTGTAACATTTATTACAGAAATCTAAGGAATAAAAGAGAGCAAAACTTTGGGTGTGTAGTATAATGTTGCTATCCTCTTTTCTGGCTGTTTGTATAATATTTATTTACATGGAATATGAATCGTGGGGACAGTCTCCAATGAGGTGTGTTTCATACGTGAGGTAATATGACTCATTGATGTCCAACAGCAAATCAATAAGAACCAATTAGTAATGAATGCCTAAGAACTCTGTGAAAATCAGGACAGTTTAAAGTGAGAGTTTATTATTTTTCATGTAAGACTATTTGGAAGAAATGGAATCATTTCCTTTGCTTCAGACATAAAGAAATCTTTATGACACCTTGTTCATTTTAGCAATTTCCCACTGAAGGAATTAATTTATGTTGTGGCAAAGATGTATCATTTTCAGTCTGTCAGGGTCATTGATAAATTATTTGCTGCTTGAAGAACATTCCATGTAAACATCAAAAATTAGCAAGGGAAATGGTTTCTTAAGCCCCTAGCCTGAACAGTTCTGATTGTGTGCATTTTTCAGTGTTTGGAATGTTATTTTACCTGTAGTTAGAGAGATCAATTTACAGGACTGGACTAGTGCGGTTCTAGTCACTCTTTGTCAGGTTATAAATAATACTCACATCCGTGCTCCCTACATTCAGTCTTCGAGGTTCCATATTCAAATGCATTCCTTAGTCAGAAGTAACAGTAACCTTGTACAAAAATTCATTTATAAAATATTCTTTAAGCTACATGTGCTCCAGGTACTGGTGGTTCACACCTGTAATCATAGCTGTGTAGGAGGCTGATATCTGAGGATCACAGTTGAAAGCAGCCTGTGCAAGAACGCCTGTGAGACTCTTATCTACAATTGACCACCAAAAAGCAGGAAATGGAGCTATGGCTCAAATGGTAGAGCACTAGCCTTGAGCACAAAAGCTCAAGACATCACTTAATATAATTTTTTCCAAGTCTTTCCATTTCCTAACAAATGGGACAATGTCATTTTTTTCTGATGGAGGCATAGAATTCCATTGTGTATATATACCACATTTTCTTGATCCATTCATCTACTGAGGGGCATCTGGGTTGGTTCCATATTTTAGCTATGGTAAATAATGCTGCAATAAACATAGTTGTGCTGGTAGCTTTAGTATATGGGCTTGTTTGTGAACATTTGGGTAAATGCCCAAAAGTGGGATTGCTGGGTCATAGTGGAGCTCTATGTGTAGTCTTTTGAGGAACCTCCATACTACTTTCCAAAGTGGTTGAACAAGTTTACACTCCCACCAACAATGCAGTAGGGTTCTCTTCTGTCCACATCCCCTCCAGCATCTGTTGTTATTAGAGTTCTTGATTATAGCGTTCTAACTGGGGTGAGGTGTTATCTCATACATATTTATAAGATGATTTCTTTGTTGCTTTGTATGTCCCTCCCCCATGGTATAACCCCTGTTGTCACTGTATTTGATGTTGGTATACTTTGTAGAAGGGAAGGGAAAAAACAAATTGTTCAAATAGGGATGCAGGTGGACCCATTGCAACAATGTACAAGACATTATGTGGAAAAACCAACTTTGGCAGAGGCAGGGGTGGGGGTAGGGGGGGAGGGAGGGGCAAATGGGAAGGGGAAACAAAGGAGGAGGCAACAATGCTTGATAAGAAATATACTCATTACTTTCTCCATGTAATTGTAACCCCTCTGTAGGTATTTTGAACAACAACAACAAAAAAAAAGCTCAAGGAGAGTGCCCAGACACTGAGTTCAAACCCCAAGACCAGCACCAATTTTTTTTAAAGGATATACTTGAAGAATAGACACATTTGGAGTCAGCTCTTAGAGTTTCAAGTAGACCTTTTATGTGGGAGGGGGAGGGTGGGGAGGGGCGGTAAACTAGAATTTTAACTCAGGTCTCACACTTGATTGGCTTACTTGATCACAGCTGGTTCTCAACCACTTGAACCATGTCTCCAGCCCTGCATTTTGCTGGTTAATTGGAAATGGAGTCTTATGAATTCATGAACTGCCTGGGCAGGCTTCAAATTGTGATTCTTCATATATCTACCTCCTGAGTACGAGTGAGCCACCACTGCCTGATTCAATTATTTCATTCTTGGAATCAACACTTGTTTTTCAATTTCTAGGGATCTACATTTCTTTTCTTTTTTTTTTCTTACCACTCTTGTTTTCTTTTGATATAGTAAAGAGAAAATAAAGAATATGTTTACTTTTTAAAGGCTTGGAATGATTAAGCAAACCTTTCTGTAAAGGACCAGATAATTCATATTCAGTCTCTGCAGCCTATGAGATCTCTGTTTGGCTTTGCCTTTGTGGAATGAACACAGCCATAGCCACGCATGAACAGATAAGTGTAAGGTGCTCCATCATAAGGAAAAATTTTTGTTGGACTTTATTTACAAACCAGGCTAATGTGTCCCACAGTTTCATAGAGTTGTAGGATTTAAAGAAAAACATGGCCAGCGGATCTGAAAATAAAGTGTTAGAACAATACCTACTGTATTATTTATGTTTTTATTTTTTTTGGTGATATTAGGGTTTGAATTCAAGGCTTTGAGCTGTGCCACACCTTCAGCCCTTTTGTTCTGACATGTGTGTGCGCATGTGTGCGTG